CATGAAAAGCCCTTTACCTTCTTGGTCAGCGGGGCAAAGGAAGAAGCTTAATATCGCACACCCATACAAGTATGTTTAACCCTGTCACTTAATACATCTCTTGGCTCTTATCCTAACACTATTCCTTATATCTAGGGCAGCCGGAGCAGGGAAGCTCTCAGAAACTGTCCGCGAACTAGCTGCATTTTATGAGGTGGTGGTTTACTCAGATGAGCAGAGTGATAGTGAGGGAACAGAGGTGGATGTCCAATCAGATGTGGATGCGTATATGGAGGCTCTCCTAGATAAAATTCGGAATGGATTGGTCAAAAGTCTGTGAAATGGCACAGAGGACTTTGATGCCACAGCAAGAGCATGCAGGCACAAAACGGCCTGGGAGCCAAATTGATTAAGAATCAAGTAAGGCGATCCAAGTATTCTGGTCTTTCAGCTCCAGCTTGTGCACTCCTCAAGGATCGTCATCATTTGTGGCCTTTCTATTAATAACAAACAATGGTTATGTGTTCATGCTTGTTATGTTTTCCTGCGTTCTAACAGAGGCAGATATATATTTATATACATGTATGAGTTTCAGATCTCTTACATGCGTTTCAACCGCCATGATCCTCAACACTTTCACTCAGCATTGTGCCATCCTGCAATGCGTCATGATTGAGTTTTGAGCGATCTGAAAAGAGCCCGGAAGCTGGAGTGTCTTCTAGCCCGCAGGCAGCAAGCATCAATTGACTCGCTAACAAGTTGGCTCGACAAGTCATATTCCACGAAGACCCACGAACCCGTCAGCGATCGTGGAAGGACAACCAGGCAACTTAACAAGAGAAGATCCCGCACCATGTTGGCTCCTTACGGACTTTTAATTTCGTGGCATTTTCCACTGAGGTTATGGCATCCCTCGGGGGACTTTACTGTGGTGGCTATTAGCTCAAAATGGTGGCATTCCCCAAGGACCTCGCTTCACCAGGACGCCGACACCTTATGGTTCTATCTTTATTACCCTTTCTGCACGTTCCCTGAAGGTTCGCCTCCATCAGCGTTCTTCCAGATTCCTAATTCCCCTCGTCCGTCAAACCTGTCCCTGTATCACCTAATTCGGTTTAGTTTAATATATTACACTAATATCAATCAATAACTATACAAAATTACATTAATGAACCGATTATATAGTGTATAATATACGCTAGTCATCTCCCTCACTCGATATGAATATGATCTCCTAGCTCTTGCACTACTTCTCCGACGTAGTTTCAATTTCTATTAGCAGCGGGCACAAACTGACCACTTTGACAATTCAATTCTTCGCGAGAAAGAGTCGGATTTGATCGCTTAGCAGGTAGATCATCAGAAGTCTCAGAATACGGAGTAGAATCGAAAGAATTGCCAATAGATCTGAAGCTGTGTTAAAAGTACGTACCAAGCATTAAAAAATAAGAGGTTACGATTTTGATAGAATATATCTATAGAATAATATCAAACCATACTAGGGGCTATAAACCAGTATTGCTTTCCAAAATTTACAAAGACATCTCTTAAATAACTTGTTGAGCAGGAACAATGGGAAAACAAACAGAAAAATCAGTGAATGAAAGTGTCTTCATTTCTGAATTATTAAAAGTTGCAAAATGAGATAAAACTGGAACCTGATGTGCTTTGAGACCTTGTTCTGCTCACTACACCATCAGTCAGCTGTGTCTTGTTGACTGACTGCTGCTGTGTGTCACATTCACTTGATTAGATCTTGATTTTGTAATTTGTGTTGGTGCTATACTTTGTTCTTCTTGTGAAGAACCTCTTGCATTTTGTATTTGTGATGAACTATATGTTGTTGAAAAGGACAGTGCAGGTGCTCAACAACAATTCACAGTGAGCTCAAAGGTTCAAACTGTATTCAGCATATGCTTTCTGCCATATACTCTCTTTAAGTGTGTTACAATAACAGTGATATTCAAGTTTTCAATACTCATGGTGACATATGCACCTCTGGAAATTTTCAGCTTGGTGTGGTTTGAATGATTGTACAGCTCTTCGCATATCCATTGATAGCATTGCTCAGCTTGCCTCAGGGTTTGAATTCAAAGGTTGCTTCTTCTCAGCTCTGAAGCACTTTCTTCATCTGTCTGAAGAGATTTTTGATGAAGAAATCAGCTATGTGGTCAGCCACATCAGAGGGGTTTTGATTTCTAGTGGGAGGTGTCGGGCCCAGGTAAATGAGATAGATGATGCTTAGCGATTCGAAGGTATCCGGTCGGGGCGGAACGGTTAAAGAGGTATCCGAAACTATTCTTCCTGTGTCGGAATGCAACGATCTTGAGTTCGATGATGAGCTCGAAGCAACTGGAGAAAAAATTCTTGCATCTGCTATCTCGGAATCCTGCGCTAATATTGGGCATATTCAACCATCTCTTGCTTCTTCGATAATTACAGTAGCTTAACTGCTATCAGAATGCTGCAATACGTCAGTTCTCAAGGAAGGGGATAAGATGTTATTTGCACCATAAGTTTAATCCGCCCATTCAAATAAATTGGAACGGAATATATGAGAAGCTCAATAATTGTACACAGTAAGCGAAACGAAGCCAAAAAGAGCTCTAGTCAATACATTTGCTATTTGGCATAAGTTAAATCTTGCTGACCATTTGTAAGATGTCCCCTGTTGTGATAACTACAAACTACATCGGAAACACTGATTAGTTTTTGACCTAAGAACTGATTGGCTGAGACTGCGCGCCAAGCTCGATGTCGTGAAATCCGCCCAAAAACTCATGATGGCCCGAACCTTTCTCCCTTATCAATCACTCAAATATTTTTTTTGTCACCTAAAACACCAGCTTTTTATCTCAATATAGTTAGGAACGATTTATGCCTGGCTATAATAGAGCCACATTTCCACCCTCTTTTTCTCTGCGACTGTCCCGCGATGCCTCGAGACCGCGACAGGTTCCATCGATAAGTCCTGAGAACGCAGATAATCAATCCACCACGGAAATTTATCCGTTGGCTGTGCGCTTTTGATTAATAATATGGATACCGAAGCATCTGCGGAGGGAGTTGCTTCTAGTAGTAGTGGCTCTCACAGTTGGTCTCGCCGGTACGGAGATACCCTTGAGTTCTGGGGTGGCGGCACTGTGCCGATAAACTCGCTAGCAGAAATAGCGGAAATGACGATATGGATGGCTAACCTACGATAGAGGCAGACGACACCATGCGGGAAAAAGAGAGTCTGGGCTGGGTGGACAGGCGACCTGGCTAAGCAGCGTTATAAACCTGCTCAATACAAGTGAGTTTAGACGAGTCGAACAGCCCAAATCGTTTCCCGGAAGATTGGATTTTAATGCCCTGGTAGTTGTTGGTGCTGGTGCTCTTGCAATGCCCAGCGCCCTCGCACGGATGGGAATCACCCTCGGGGTCCTTATTATCCTATGGTCGGGAATCGCAGCCGGTTTTGGTCTCTATCTACAGTCGCTATGTGCCCAATATTTGGATAAAGGAGCCGCATCCTTCTTCGCCCTATCGCAGATCACATATCCGAATGCTGCCGTCATATTCGATGCAGCAATCGCCATAAAATGCTTCGGCGTAGGCGTAAGCTACCTGATTATCATAGGAGATCTCATGCCTGGAGTAGTCCAAGGTTTCGGTGCGGACGCTACTGGGATGGAATTTTTACTTGATCGTCATTTCTGGGTTACGGCGTTTATGTGTGTAATCTCATATTTTTACCATGTTTTTTGTCCTAGGATAGTCTGCTTGGGTCATTGTGCTAACTTTCTACTTCTAGGTTGGTTGTAATTCCGCTTTCGTTCTTGAGACGGCTGGATTCGTTGAAATACACGAGCATCATAGCTTTAACCTCTATTGGCTACCTGCTCGTCTTAGTCGTGGCTCACTTTATCAAAGGAGACACAATGGCGGAGCGTGGCCCGGTTAACTATTTTAAATGGCAAAGCGCAGTGTCTGCCCTGAGCGCATTTCCGGTTATGGTGTTCGCATACACCTGTCATCAAAATGTATTGCTCCATTAACACCCGATCTAGACTGCAACCTCTTGCATCTCATTGCTAACACCCGTATGTCAGATGTTCTCAATTCTCAATGAAATTTCCAACAGCACACACTTCAGAACAACCACCGTTATTGTCTCCAGCATTGGTAGCGCTGCCTTTACATATATCCTTGTCGCAATCACAGGCTATCTTTCCTTTGGAAACAATATTGGGGGGAATATTGTTGGCATGTATGCGCCGTCATTATCAGCAACGGTAGCCCGTGCTGCAATTGTCGTCCTTGTAATGTTTTCATACCCGCTTCAGGTTCATCCTTGCAGAGCATCGCTAGACGCTGTTCTTAAATGGCGCTGGAGTCCCAAATCCTCATCCAACACTGCCAACTCCTCACCTAACCGCAACCCGCTTCTTCCGCGACCAAATCAACTTCAGGATTCCATGGGAGATGCTCGGTTTGCAATAATCACCACTATCATTATAATACTAAGCTACATGGTTGCCATGACTGTGTCATCCCTTGAAGCCGCGCTGGCCTACGTAGGGAGCACCGGCAGCACCAGCATTATTTTCATCCTTCCTGGCCTTTTCTATTATAAAATCTCCTCCCCAGAGTCTGCCATACATCAACAATTGATGAAGGAAAATGACGAAGCGGCCGCTGACGATATGTCAGATGTTGGCGCGGAGAGCGAGGGACTTCTGAGCGCCAGTGGCCTCCTCTCAGCTAGTGGAATCCTTAAACGAAACACACGACAGTGGCGAAAGGCTCTGCTACGCAAGCTGAGCCTGGGCCTCGCAATATACGGTGTTATCGTCATGGTTGTTTGTCTGGTTACAAATACGTTCTTCCTTGCATCTCACCAATAACAACAATTCCCGTGCGGGTACAACACGCACGCGCACGCGCACGCGCGATGACGTAGATAAAACAGTATCTCTCCTCTAAAGTCTCAAATGTGTTATTTCAATCCAAGCGCTCTGAGGTCCGTCGTTATCCCCTGCTTTTCCGCCTGCAGCATAGACACACAATCACACACACACACACCTCCCAAAATGAAAATCCTTTTCCATATCCTTTTCCATAATATCTACCAGATCTATGCCAACATGTCTCCGTTACTCGACCAGGCCTTAGCGAATTTGGGGAGTCGGGTGAGTAGAAAAAAGACTTTTTCTCGTTCGGGATGGGATTCTTTTTTTTCCCCTTTTCATCCGTCACCCGTTTTATTCCGCCTCTTTTGCTTCTATATACATATACATATACATAAATTTTCTTCTTCCTGGATAAACGGCTTATTCCCGGAGTCGAGCCGAGCAACCCGTATTTCGCTTTTGAGGAATCGTACATAATATTGGTGTTCCGGTTCCAAACGCTGGTGTTTCCTCTTCTTTTCTTTTCTTTTCTTTTCTTTTCCTTATTGATTCATTTATTTTCCTCCCTTGTTACTCCTGCACCTAGCGTCGCCGCAACCCACTGCTCTATTTCTTTTATTCTATTATTTTACCCTTGTTTTTACCATTATATCCTACATTTTCTCTCTCCCAGAGAACGCCTTTTGGGCGTTGGAGTACTTTACGATCTTTGCTCTTCGATTCCTTTTTTTTTCTTTTTCTTTTTCTTTTCTTTTTTTTTTTTTAAAAAACTTTTTTTCCCCCTTTTCTATTCCCTCTCTGTACTCATCTTTCATCCCCATTATTTTCGTTTTTATTATCATTTTGTGTGCCATACCTGTATATATCATCGCCTTTTACTTTTCTACATAGCATTCACTTTGGCCTCCAACATTTTTTCATTCATATAACAACAATATAAAACCCCACTTCCGCAAGTTGTCTTGGCCCCCCACGCACAGTGGTATTATATTCACCATTCGTATTTTTGGTCCAGGATATACACAAAGGAAATAATGGCTTTTACAAGAGATCCTAAAAGAAAGGAGAAGAAATGGCATACGCGAAAATAGGATTATTTCACTCTTACATGGATTTGAGTCGAGACGGAATGCGCGAAAAAGCTCATATTCGAATGGATAGAAGAGCTTGAAAAAAAAAAAAAAAAAAAAAAAAAAAAAAGAGGAAGGAAGGAATAAAAGAAGGAAAGGATGGGGTGAGGAGGGGGGGGGAAGCAAGGAAAGGAAAAAAGAAAAGATAAACAAAAATTCGTACAAAATTCCCCGTCCAAGAGAGATAAGAGGCAAAAACTCTTAACTCTTAACTACATCTCCCTGTCCACGAAAGTGAAATACGGCTACATACAGTCGTACAAATGAAATAATTAGCCTTCACAGATCCCATCGAAATTTTTCAACTCAGTCACTACTTTGACTATTCAGGATCCGCAGGATGGCGAGGAACAAGTTAACAATATCCAGGTACAGGGAAATTGCTGCGGCAATCTCCTCCTCAACATGGTAGTGGCGCATGATCAGCTGGGTATCCACCAGGACATAGGCACTGAACAGGAGTGCCGTCACCGCACCGTACACCAGCTCAACTTTACTGCTCGGCCCCATGAAGGCCTCAACGAACCGAAAAGGATCAGGAACCAGAGCCCGCCGAAGAGATACGGGAC